GGGACCGGGGGACAAGGGGACAAGGGGGCAGGGGCCGTGTCCCTCCGAGTGGCGGCTTGCGGCCGTCGGATCCCGGCTCCCATCTCGCTGCCGCACCGTCGGGACACCCCGAGCCTCCTCTCGGGGGCTCCTTCTGTCCCCGTGAGGGGCCGGGGGCCGCGGTCTCTTGGGCACCCACTCAGCGTTTGCCTCCGTCCCCTGGGCCGGGCGTCCTCCTGTGGCCTCCTCACCCGTGGCCTCGCCTGGGGTCTCATCACACCGGAGTCCTCACTGAGGAGGAAGAGTGGCCGGGCTCCTGGCCGTTGCGACGCACACAAACGAAGAGAAGAGCACGCTGCGTGCAGACGGATGGACGGACGGACGGACAGATTCCTCCCTGCACTCGATTTCAGCAACCGCCTCCAGGGAAATCCCGGTCGCTCCACCGTCTCAAAACTCTGCTGAAACGACCTGCTCTCATTTTACAAACCCAGGAAACAAAAACAGCGGAAACGCAGAAAGCGAAGAGGGCTCCGTCACTCGCACCGAGTAGCGGGAGCCATGGAGGCGGCGGACGCAGGCGCACAGACCCAGGAAGGTGGGGACCAGAAGTGAGCACGCGGCCCGCGGGCCCCACGGACCCCGCGGCGGGATTCGGGGCGGGCTCCAAAACCGCACCAGGTGGAAATCTCTGTAAGGAGAGCGGGGCTCCAGGAGCCCGGCCTCGTGCGCCCCTCGCCCCAGCAGAAGGGATGGGGTCCCAGGTGCATGGGGAGCAGGAACGGAGGGGGGCGCGGGGCCCTCCGCCTCTTGCTCCCAACCTGCTGTGGCCACCGCGTCAGCCGGTGTGCAACCCCTGCGACCTCCAGACGGACCTCCGCAGGCCCCAAAGACAGGCCTCAACTGGCAAGACTGGGGCCGTGGGAACGAACAGCCAAGGACGACCCACTGGTTAAGGAAAGCGCTAAGCAATGTAACAGAAAGCGAGAGAAACTGCATAAAGAGAAAGAAAAGCTCAGAGAAAACAGGCAATTCTGGAGAGAGGAGATTTTTTTTTTTTAATTTTGTCATCAGAAAAGGAGAATAAACACAATGTAACAAATGATTATATTCCTAATACAAGAAAAATTAAGAGAACCAGAAAGATCTTTTTAAAACAAAGACAAGTGAAATAAAAAGTTCAGTTACAAGGTCAGAATATAAAGTCGAGGAAATCTCTCTAAAATTATAAACGTGAGAAAAGAAGATAATTTAAAAAAACAGAGAAAGAATCGAGACGCTTCCTACGGAGCTCACAGGGATCTGCGAAGGCAGGAAAAGAGAGAAAACAGGAGAAGGAAAATCACCGAGGGGAGAGCGGGACACACACCCGGGGGAAGGTCCCCGAGCCTGGAGGGGGTTCGGCTCAGACCTGCGCTTGCTGAGTTTAGAGAAGGCGTCCTGAAGGAACGAGAGAGCAGCCGTGGAGGGGGCACCGTGCCCCACAGGCTCCCCCAGAGCAGCAGAGCCAGGACCAGAGACCCGCCTCGGGGCCCCCGATGCTCCGTGGCCACCCAGCACCGAGACCCAGGCCCTCCCACTGGGGTGACCCTCCAGCCAGGGTGACTGTCCTGTTGGGGTGACCGTCCAGCCAGGGTGACCCTCCTGCCTAGGTGACACTTCTGCCAGGTTGGCCCTCCTGTCAGGGTGACCATCCTGCCCCGGGGCGGCCAGCCTTCCCGTGGGCAGTGTACCAGCCTCCTACCCCCTCCCCGCACGTTGGGGGCAGGTGGTCTAGAAACCCTAGAGAGCCAGGAAGCCCAGTAGACAGTTCAGCGGGGACATTGGTGCCCCTCCCCCCCACACGATGCCTCCTGCTCGTGAGTCAGCAGAAGCGGGGGGTGGGAGATGGCTGTGACCATTGACTGTCCACACTGCAGGCCCCGTTACTAGTGTATCTCCTCTCTCTCAGGTGACAGTCACACAGGAAGGGGGCCGTTCAGCAAGGTGAGACAGCAAATAGTAAATCAAGTGTCCAGGTGGTAAAACGTGGCTGGAAAGAGGCCGGTTGCATCTGGGTGCGTGCCTCCAGGCCGAGATCTGAGCCACAAACACCCCCGCGTGCGGGTCCCCGAGAGTCCTCCGTCCCTAAATGCTCGGCCCCCCGCCCCCGCTCTCTGGGCCTCTGGGCAGCACACCCCACCTGCCCACAAGGCAGGTCCTCCTCCCACGACCCACCCGCACTGCCCCCGTGTCTTTTCAGCCGTACCTTCCGGAGCCTTTCCCTTAATTTAGCTATTTTCAGCTGTAAGATTCTCCTGAACGAAGTCCCTTTGGGGCCGATGTTCCGACCAAATGTCCCGCCTCCCTCTGAAGCGCTTGCCTGGACCCACCCTGGGCTTCCCGGTGCTGTCCCTGTGCCTGACATCTGGGGAACTGGGGGAGGGGGGAGGTGGCAAGCTGGGTGGGCAACAAGTTAAGTGATCCCCACAGCGGCCAGAACTGAGACTCTGACTTTCCAAACCCCCACTCAGAGCGATGCAGTTGTAATTAGAGGCGTTCCCATGATGGCCCACTGGGCCCCCGTGGGAGCCACACCAAGACCCCCAGGTCCGCTCCCTGCAGGCAGCGGGGGCGTGGGACATTCCCGAGTCCTCAGCCATCCGGGCCCCCAGGAGTCAACACGCCACAAAGTGAGGCCAGCGTGAGCTGCCACCAGACCCACGGACCCGCCCTGCACCCAGCTCAGTGCCACGGGACACTTCCAAATTTCACCCATGAGGTCATGCGGTCCCCGTGCGCGGGTGGGTAGGCCTGAGCAAAACAGATGACTCTGCGGTGCTGAGTCCCGGTTCAGCTTCCCGGCTTGAGGGCGGTGGCCTGCCATCCCCAGCTGGCCCTTTGCGTCACTGAAAACCAGGAGAAGCCTCGGAAGATGAAGGCAGTGTGGGCGAGGAGTCCGAATTTGGACGGTGTTCCTTCCGCTGCACGTTCGGGTCTGGGAGCAGCGTTCTAGGCACCCCCGGAGATGCCCGGTGGGTCTACACTGCTGACGCCTCCCCTTCGCTGCTTTGCGACCGCGCACTGCCGCGTGGCTTAGTTCCCACCACCCTATCGTCAGGGCAGGGGAACTCGGGTGGGGAGATACCCAGCGGGCACCACACTGGTGCTAGCGGCTTCCAGGAGCCACCAAACTCGGCCGGCAACAAGCTGGCCTCTGAACAGCCCTGCTGAGCGGGGACAGGACAGGACACCGGGATGCGAGAGCTGGGGGCTGGTGACCAGCCGGGCCCGCTTTCTAGCAGCGGGGCAGACGCGGACACGGGCAGGACGAACCGCGCTTGCCGACATCGGACGCGGAGCCCCGAAAAGACGGTGGAGGCGGCCGCTGGGACACTGCTCTGGAGAAGCCGGAGGGCGGTGGTCCGTCCACAGTGGGCTGAACAGGCAGGACCCAAGCTGAGGGCCTGGCTCCGTGAAGGGACGGTCACGGGCCACCGTGGTGACAGACAGTGGGGAACAAACACACACGAGGCTCGTCCCCAGCAGGAGCATGGAGCACCCCCCCAGATGACTAAACCTGGGGGACCCTCCAGTGCCTTCCTGTCCCCCACCCGCCATGCCATCGGGGGCCCAGAGGCATTTTCCCTGGGAGCTCACGCCCCAAAAATCTGGAAACACCATCAGCAAACACGGCTCACGGAGGGAAGGTCCCAGGAAGAGCAGCAGGTGTGGTGATTTCTCACGAATACTCTGCACGGCACCGAATACCAACGTCTCACAGACAGCGGACCAAAGACCGCTTGGACGTTGGCATGAACCACGCAGGACCGTGAAAATATGTGACATACAAGGATACGTCTTCCCCCAAACAGTGCTAATCCCCATCAGAAAACGTGTGAGAAAAGTGTGTGAAGACACTTAGAAAGCCTCCGACATGAACACAGACATTACATGGTATTACTAATAACCACGTAAGCCACGCTGTCACCAGGTGTTGGATGGACACAGATACAGGTAAAGCCCTCACAGCATCGCTAGGCTGTGGTCCATCTGGCCCTGAATTATGGGTGAAATACAACATTATACATACGTGATGTAATATATATGTGATATTGGACATACAGTCGTATACACACGTACAGTTTTCATTGCATCGCACACAAAGTGCCAGGGGAACCACGAGTGCGGGGGCCCCCAGTGTCGGTCCCTCCGGACGGTGGCGGGTAAGAGTGAGCCCCCAAGGGGCAGGGGTGGGGAGGCCCAGGCTCGGGGCCACAGAACGTGTCGGATGCAATTGTCCTCAACGCTTACATAGTGAGAAAGAGACGGAGGGAGGGGAGCCGCCTGGGAGGACGGTCGTCAGACAGACACAGCGGCCAGCTTCCCGGTTCTGCACATGCACCCGGAGGGGACAGTGTTAGCAACGTCAGGGGGCAGATGGGAAGTTTGCAAAGAGGCCACACGTTTGATGTCAGTGGCAAAGGGGTTTTAAACATTCCAGTGAGATCATGATATTGGGGCTCCATTTTCACAACTGCGATCGCCCCCAGTAGTCTACTGGAGGCAGGACGGGTGCAGGAGGAGCCGATGTGCCGTGAGACGGAACGGTGAACGTGGGGGTGAGCTCGTTATCGGATCTTTCCGCTTTCGTACGTTCAAAATCAGATCTTAATTCAGGCCTCCTGTAGGTTTGACACCTTCTGTAATAAGGAAGTTTTCCAAAGCCAGTCGCTCCATAGACAGCCACGCGGCCCCAGGAGGCACACGGTGAAGGGGGCGAGCGGCGACCTGGCCCGGGGCCCCGTGCAGAACCGTCCCCGAATCCACAGGCAGACACAGGCCCCCTCGTGCGCGGGGACTGGGCCACGCGGAATCCATTGCTCTGACTTGTTTCCCATTCGCACAAAGCCCGTGGCCGGCAACCAGTCTGACGAAATGACTCGGCGACACGCCTCCCTCGTGGCTCGCGACTGTTCCCTCTGCAGGGCTTTGGGGGTCTCGGAGGCCCGTGACTAATGCCACCCGTGTCTTGTCCCCAGCTTGTCGGGATGCCCGCGAGCCACGTCAGCCATGAAGAAGGCGAAGCTGTCAGGAGAGCAGATGCTGACCATCCGACAGCGGGCCAGCAACGGTAACCACCCCACGGGCTGCCCGGGGGGCAGGAGCTGCGGCCCCGCTCTGTCCCCTGGCGTGACCACAGCCTGAGACAGTCGCAGCATCTCTGCCGGGGCGGGATGGTTCTGGCCGCATCTAAGAGGCCAGTCCATCCGTCTGGGGTCAGGGGGAGTGTCCCCAGCAGTCCCAGCAGTTTGCCCCCGTTGTGCCTCTGCCCCAGGCCCTCCTGGAGCGGCCGGGTTGGGGACAGCCGCCCTCCTACCCCCTCCACGCTGAGCTTCCCAGCTGGCCCACTGTCCACCTGCAAGGACCTCTGGGTGCCACAGCCGGGAGTACAGGGGTGCCACGGGAGGGAGGGCGAGGAAGCAGCCCAGCCTCTCCAGTGTTCACAGCTTCCTCCTTCATTCACGAGTTCATGCAGAGTTGCAAATCGCGGTGCGTGTGTGGCCCCTGGGGATGTGGCGGGAGAAGTGTGGCTCTGCAGGCTGAGGGGACAAGGCCGCGCTCATGCTGCAAATGGGCTCCTTTTCACAGTCTTTTTAGAGGGGCATTTTCGGAGTTGTTGAGCCTTTGGGGGGGAGTTCTGTTGGGAAGGCGCGGTGCCGCGAGTGACGCGTGTGTTAGGTGAGCCCCGCCCACGCCTGTCCTGTGCCGGTGGCCGTGAGGTCAGCGCTAACGAACCAACAACGAGCATCCAGGTGTCTTTCAGCAGAAACACGCATAGAAGGAGCCTCCAGCCCGATGGTTGCTGGGACGTAAGCAGGGCTCGCAGCCTCCGACCTGCGCCTGCCCTGGGACGGCTGACTCGGTGTTGGCGGGACTTGGTAGAACACCACTCGAGGGATTACGGCGCCCGGGATTTGCAACCACTCGGCAAACTGCCACTTCGGAGAGCAGGGGCAGGGCCCCTCCTCAGAGGACGCTGCGAGGAGGGCGCCGGGGCAGGGCCGACCCCGAGGCTGGCAAAGCAGGGGTCCCGGGCAGGCACCGCCATCAGGTTGGGCCCCCGGGAGCAGCGGCCAGCAGTGCAAGACGTGGGCCCACATGAGCCCAGTCCCTGGGCCCGTCCCTGGAGCTGCGGCCCCGGGGACCTGGCCCCCTCTGCTGGGGTCTGCCTGAGGCCACCTCCCCCGCAGGAAGGCCGGCCGGGCCAGGGCCCCGAGGCCTCTGCCGGTCACGGTCACGGCCACCCGACCACTCATTCCAGGTCCCGACAGCAGCTCCGGGGCGTCCTCGAGCCTCCTGCACCACGCGGTCCTTAACATGCGGCCGTCACTGCCGGGAAGACGGCCAGGGTCACGATGCGTGTGTCTGGAAGGCTCGGGCTCTGGCCTCCCCGCTTCTGTGGGACACACGCTCGGGGCCACAGGCACGGAGCTCGAGCGCGTGGAGCGCCGCCTCCCGGAGCTTCGGGAACCGCACCGTCACCCACAGGCCCGAGGCCGCGTGGGGAAGCCGCCGGGAGGTGCCAGGCCCGCTGCCGTCACACCTCTCGGCCGTGAACAGCAGTGCCGGCCGCCGGGAAGAAACCACCACCGCCACCCTTCTGGAAACACTCAGCGTGACCTTTCACCAGACGCCCTGGGGGTCAAGCAGCCACCCCCCGCCGGTGGGTCGGGCCTGTGACGGTCCACACTCTTCGGTGACAGAAGCGGCAGCGGGCTGGGGGTCAGTGCAGAGAAGGAAAGGACAGAAAACAGACCCGAGGAGGGGCCATGCGGAGGGAGGCAGGCGGGATCCGGGTGCAGGGACGCATTCTGTCACGCTCTCGCCAGGGTGCGGCGGCTCGGGTCACGCAGCCATGAGAGGTGGGAGCTGGACCGACCCGGGTCCTCCTGAGCCCGAGTTTCTCATCTGTCTGGACATTCTTCATGCCAGGACCAGAGTCACTTCTTAGTGACCCCTGGGGACACTCCTCTCGGTGCAGAGGCTGCGTCGTGAGGCGAGGATGGGCGGGCATCACCCTGAGCCGCGGACCCCCGGGCAAGCACGGGGGAAACGCGCTGCCGCTCCCGGGGACGGGCCAGAACACGCCATTTTCCACAAGGATCGCCCCCGTCCTGCCACGTGCAGAGATCTGGTTGCGGCGTTGCCCCCGCTGAGATGTGGAAAACAGTCTGTCTCTGTCTCTTTTCTCGAATACCTTGAGTGCAACCTGGCCTGACAATGCTCTAACCCCTTCGCGGGTAACGTGGCCAGAAGCTTCCCTCCCTCCACGCCCGGCTCTTCCGTGAGCGCGCAGGCCTCAAGGAGACCACTGTTCAGTTGGCTGAGCTACTCCTGTGTTGGGATTCCAGCGCCTTCCGTCAAGTGTTCACCTGAATAAAAAGGAGCTCTTCTGAGTGTCCTGGAAGCTCCCTTCTGGCGCGGAAATCTGGGACCCTGCCCCCCCCCCTCCTTCCTTCCTTCCTTCCTCTTCTTCCTCCCCCTCCGCCCTTCTCCTTATTCTTCAAACTTAAAGGTCGCCATGATTTCTTTATCCCCCAGAACGGCTCTCAAAGCAGCAGGAGGTGTGGCCTCTGCTCAGACCCTTCTGCAGAGCCCCCCCGGCCCCCTCAGCAGGCAGCTCCCCACCCCCCCCACCCCACCCCGCTGCCAGCCCAGCTGTCCCCGCCTTTGTTTTTGCTCTTTTGTTGTTGTTGTTGGACCTTTGTCCGCGTCTTGCCAAGGACAGGAGGAAATGAGGCAGCCCTCCTTCTTCCTCCCTGGATTGTCACAGAAGTCAGGCTGCGGGAAGGGGCTGTGACATCTATCGAACACGGAGGCCGGGGGCGGGCCTCTGTCCCTGCTGCCCGCTGCAGGCGCTGACACGCTTAAGCTCAGCCTCCCCGCAGGCGAGGACCCAGCAGAAGTGCCACTGCCCTGAGATACGGACAAGCGCACTGCACCCCAGTCGCTCTCTCCCGTCTCCAGAAGCGGGCACCGCACCATGACCTGGGGCCTCGGGGGTGTCCTAGGGGCAGGCGTATGGGGAGAGCTTGAGGAAATTTGTTTCCAGACGCTGGAATTCTCTGGACTCTCTCCTGAGCCCAAGGGACTGAGATCCCGTCCACCTTCCCCCCACTCTGTCCCTGCCACCCTCACAGGTGAATGTCCGCTATAGGGGCGGCCGGGATGCTGGGCTGCGGGGGAACCGCCCGGGCACGTGGGGGGCCGGCCAAGCGCACAGGACAGATGCGGCAGGCACCCTGTTTCACAGACGCACTGACGGTCGTCCGTCCGTGAATCCCGCGCTCCTAGAAGAAAACTCAGAGATGGGAAGGTCAGCACAGGGCCCCTGCTGTATTTTTACTGCACGTGAAATGATATGACTTCTGTCAGAAAGTGGATCTGACCCGCAGGCCGCTCTGGTGATGACGCCTGAGTTGCCGCTTGGTCCGTGCAGTGCAAGTCGCTCGTAAATCTTACGGACTAAACTCTTTGGTCCAGGGCTGTGACGGACGTTATTTAAAGCACTCCACAGCATACAGTTTTGAAAATACGTATCTTTGGAAACTGGACTTACAATAAAACATTTAGAGGACCAAGTTAAGACTTATAAAAAGGAATTTTTGTTTTTAATTTTTCAGTTCAGCAGAACTGGAAGCCCACCGTGCTAGGCCACATACAGTATTTTCACTCTTCCTTTTCCCTTCAGTTATTTGTCAGCCTGCAGCAAGGTCAGCAGGAAAAAACAGTCTCTGTCACTTTTCACTGAAGACAGGTGACCACGGAGACCCACGCTGGCTTCTCAAGGAACACTTGCTATCCAGCCGCTTCCTTTAGCCCCCGCCGCTCGAGTCTGACTCCCGCATCTTTTATAGATTGATTCATCTCTTAACAACCACTGTGTCAGAGAGGGACCATTTTTGCAATGGAGGAGTTTGAAGTTTAGGACTACGAAAATTACTCATCACCAAACTCTTCCGTGGGAAGATACGGATTTAGGTCCCGGGTTTGTCACGTTTCGAATTCCAGGCTCTACAGCCGTGGCTTCTCAAACCCCTCAGCAGGGCGGGTCAGAAATGCGTCCAGTGTCCGGGAAATATCTCAGGTCATGTGGTCTCTGCGGCTGTCCCAGGAAAGTTAAGTAGAAAGTAGGAAATGCTGGACACTCTTTTGTAAAAACTCAAACCAGTAAAAGGGCCCCCAAGATGCCACCCGTTTTCCAGAGACCACGTTCTCTTCTCAGAGCTTCCTCAAAACCGTTCTAAGCTTTCCTTTGCTAGAAGGCAGCCCCACGAGAAAGATGTCGACACGTCGGGGGGTTTTACGAACCTCAGCTCATTTTGGCTACCGCTGACATCGCCTCCACCAAGCCAGTGCGACTTTCCCCACGGTCCTCTGGGCGTTGTGACAGCGCGGTCATCTTCAACCCGCCGGACCTCAGATGAGCTGTTTCGGTCACCATTCCACTCCGACACCATCAGCGGAAACGTGCCACGCTGACGCTGGGAACAGGCAGGTGCGCAGAGCATCCTTTTCTTATCAAGAACTATCCGGAGTCAGACGTCGTGACCAAACAGTTCTGAGGGTCCACGCGGGACGGGTCCCCAAGAAGAGCCACACCAGCCTTCCCGCACAGGCTCCACCGCGAAGCACGGTCAGGTCTAGCCTTCCACACTTTTAGCCACCACACACAAATAAAAACCTAGACCTTTCATTTGACGTGTAAGAGAAACCAGTTGTTTTGTTCGCTGACGGCTCTTCCTCTGCACGGTGCACACAGGACGGAGAGCTATTACCAGAGGGACTCGGGGAGACGCCCCCTTCCCTGCGAGCACCAGAGAGAAGGCTTTGCCGTGAATAGTGGTGTCTTTCAGAAGTCACCTGAATCTGGATGAGACAGACCTCAGGGGTCCCTCAGGGGTCGGCACAAAACAGGAAGGTTCACTGTGCCTCTTAGAAACGAGACCACACTCACGCTGATGCAGTGTTTGGATCCACAGAAACATGACATACAGCCCGAAAAAGCCAAGTTTTAAGTTTGTTCAGACCTAAAAAACCGCAGAAGGTATCACACGAAGCACTTGCTCAGAAACCTGAACCAAAATTCATTTTGGAAATGCACCAGCTCAGACACAGGCTGGAAGGGCCGTCGGTTCACAGGTCCCCAGGTCCGTTTGTGTGACAGATGTTCTCCGCGCGCCTGGGCTGCTGGCGTGGCCAATCCGTGTTAGCGGATAGACTGCTTCACAGTCTAGCTGCTTTACAAATCAGGATTCTTACGCACCCGTGTTCTTATCTCCAGGCGCATCCAAACGTCCCCAGAAACAATAATGTCATCAGCCACCCCTGGGCTGAGCCCTCCTGTGTGCTCAGGACCACATGCGGTGACTCAATCAGCCTACCCCGGCTGAGAGAGTTGCCAAGGAAGTCTGGTCACAGATAAAAAAGGGGGGAAATGTAACAGCTCAAATCGCTGGAAGGATTTCCTCTTGGACCCGTGAACAGCTTTGGGAGATACGTGGGTGGGATGGCGAGCAGGGAGGCTTTGCTGGCGACGTTCCGGACCCTGTAAGACATGGCTGGGGACACATGCTGAGGCCTCTATGGTGGAGCCAGGGCCACGAGACCCAGCCTTGGGGTCAGCGGGCCACAGCTGGTCCCTCGGGGGGGAGGGGGGGAGCTCCGCAGGTTCAAGATCTGCTTGTTTGCAATTTAGCCCCCGGAGTGGGTCTGTGGAGGAGACTGGAAAGGAAGGCTGGTGGACCCAGAAATCAAGGCGAACACGCGTGTTCTCTCTGCTGTACAGAGGAAAGGCCGCGTCTCCCCCAAGGTGTGGGCGTGTGGTTCACCTCAGGAAGATCGCCTACTGTTCCGACGTCCATTTTCTTTTCCATTTCCACTAAAATCGACAACTGAGACCCAACACCCTGGATCCCACCGCTCTGTCTTTGTCTTTCGGACGCGTTGGTGGGGAGGCCGGGTGGGCCAGGGCCCCAGGTGTCCCGGGCCTTCCCTCCCAGGTGGCCGCCCCCCCTTCTGTCTGCAGACTGGAGAAGGGCGTCTGTTCTGGCCCCGAGGCCTGGGCTGCGCGCCTTGTCCGAGCGTTAAGTCAGCCTCCACTGCTGAGCTATGTGACCATGGGATGGCAACCCCGAGTCCTGGGCTGTCAAGGGTGAGAGTCTCTGTGGGACTCCTACCATTCTTCCCTTGACTACATTCAGCCTTAAAAGACCCACAGGCCAGAATGAAAAAGGGTCTGGATCTTTCCGCCCTGGCGCCTTCCACTGCCAGCAAGCAGCCAACTGAGCTAGAAACTTGGCCCCGGCGCCCCACGAGGCCAGAGCTGGCGGTCGGTCCCAGGGCACCCAGGGCAGGGCGGGGGGCTGGTGCAGCCTATACTCCCCATCGCCCCGCAGCCACAGCAGTCCCAGCAGCAGATGCATGCTTTCTAGCATTTTCTTGTTTGTGTCAGTTACGTGGCCCGTGTGCAGAGAGCCCTTTGGGGACGACCCCCGCAGTCCCCCTCAGCCGCCACGAGTCTTGGCGGGAGGGGGCCCCGGACACTCGGGCCGCAGGTGTGGTCACATGTCAGCGGCTCTGCGGGGCCTGGCGAGGGCAGGGACGCTGTTGGTCTCGTTTTTGGATGTGTCCATGGTGTGACAAGGGAGAGACTGAAAATGGGCTGAGGGGGGTGAGCCCACCTCCAGGACAGAGACGGGGCAGCGGGGCCCTGGGCGGTTGTCCCCGAGGGGTCCCCTCACGGTAGAGAGGGGTCTGTGTGCCTCGGTTGTAGGGCTGGAAGAACATGCAAACTGGGCTATTCTATAAACCCAAGAGTCTCTTCTTCCAGAAAACCCAGTTCCAAACATAAAAAGAGCACAGAAAACTCAAAACGGTGGCTGTGTCTACACGCACGATGCTTGAACGCAGTTCTGTCCTTACAGGCATAGAAAACGATGAAGAAATCAAGCAGTTGGATGAAGAGATCAAGGAGCTCAACGAGTCCAACTCCCAGATGGAAGCCGATATGATCAAACTCAGGACTCAGGTAACAGTTTTTGAAGCCCTCAATTTTAGCCACCGTGTGCGCTCGGGCCGGGGACCCGGGGACCCGGGGACGTGCCAGCTCTTGGGCCTAGGGACAGGCCAGCACTCAGCCTTGGGGCTCCGGGGCGCTCCAGTGCTCGGGCCGAGGTCATGTGCTCCCCTTCCCCTATATGCCACCCCATTTTCATCCCATGTCCTGATTGCTGATGTGGGCTGTTTTGGTGGCTGAACCCTTGGTGCACAGTGACCGCCAGCCCCCTGCTTCCTGCCCCAACACACGCTTGAGTGAAATGCCCTTTGCAAGCAGTCCTGCCCGGAGGGTCTCCCGTTCCTGCACATGAGCTGCTTTCCTCCCGAGACACGGCAGGCCCTAATGTCCTGTGGTCACTGTGTTACCTAGGGAGACAGCATAATTCCCGGAAAGGAGCAGCCTGGCCCCAGGGTCTTATGGAAGGCCGCCCGTTCGTGGGGTCTCAGGCCCAGGTACTCAGTGCAAGGAGGGAGGGAGGGAGGGAGGAAGGCTGCCCGTTCATGGGGTCCTAGGCCCAGGTGCCCAGTGTCAGGAAGGAAGGAAGGAAGGAAGGAAGGAAGGAAGGAAGGAGCAGCCATTATTGAGCACCTACTGGATACCTGGCCGCAGGGGCCGTGGTGTATAGTCCCACTGCACGCACAGTGGTCCACGGGGTAAGTGTCATCACTGTCCCGTTACACATGACTGGCTGGGCCGAGGCCAATGGCCCGTCCGCGGCAGCTCCGAGTCCCGTCCCCGAGTCCACGCGGCACCCCAGGCGCCCTGCCTCCTCTCTGGGAGCGCACGTGGGTGCTGCCGTCACAGCCGCGGCGAGGCACGTCCGTCCTGGAGGAAGCCAGGGCTGCACGCCCTCCCCCTGCGGACCCCTCCTGGCCGCCCACAGAGCGGGCCTGTGGCACATCGGGTAGGGGTCACAGCTCTGCTGTGCAGCGGGCTGGCTCCGTCCGTGGCGGCATCGCACCTCCAGGGAGGCTGTGTCCCCACCGGAGCGCCCAGGGGGACCCCACGGGTGCCCCTGAGTGGGAAGGAAGCGCAAAGCGGGGGCGTCCTCTCTCCGGCGCGACTGTTCTGTTGAGCCGTTTCCACGCCAGCCTGCTGGCCCACGGCAGCCTCGCCAGGGCTCGCTCTGGTTACCAGCTGGGCGTTGTCCTTAGCACCAATCCGCACGCAGGGCCGTGCCCGGCCCCAGGTCAGAGGCCCGAAGCAGGTGAGGGCCCCAGGAGGACTCTAGGGCCACAGGGGCCCCCGTGAGCCCGCACACCTGCAGTGACTTGTTTCACTGGGTCCAATGAAAGCACCCTCCCGGACTTGTATTCTGCTCCCACGGGTGGAAGCCTGAACACTGATCGACCCAGCTCGCGCTCGTAATCCCGAGGACTCAGAACCCCCCACCTGCCCTGGGCGGTGAGCCGCAGCCGGCCGGGCCCCATTCTGACAAAACGCACTCGTGTCCCGCTGGAAGGCCTCCTTCCTGCCCACCCCCGTGCCCGGCCGGCCCTGCGGTGGAAACGCAGCTTTCCCGTGTGTCTGCTCGAGGGGCCGAGCCCTCACACGCTGGAAATGGGGCCCAGCAGCGGGAGCCACTGCAGGGACGAGGGCCAGGCGCTGGGCGCCCCCAGACCCGAGCTTCCCAGCAGCCCCGCACATCCGGAGCAGAGACAGGCCCCTGTGCACACATTCGTCTCACCCCTCGCTGGTCCTTTTGTCCCCGTGTGGATTGCCACTGCCCACCTGGGGCTTTCCGACATCCCGTGGGAACGTGTGCTCCTGGAGGCGTCCATGCGCCTCCAGCGTCAAAAATGAATTTAAGGGTTGACATGTATCCCACTGACCTGGCTGCTGTCCCTCGGTGGCTCCTCGTCTCTGGAATGCAAGCCCGGTGTCTTCAAGGGACTGCAGCACTCTGAGCCAGGGTCCGTGAGCCCATGGTTTCCGGGGCTGGAGGGTGCAGGGCAGGTCAGCTGAATGATGACACGGTCAGTCGGCCACGGAGACAGCACTCAGCAGCCCGGGAGCAGCCCGGAGGAAGGTCCCTCAGGAGGAAGGCATACGTGCTCATTCCTGGCAACCTCCCGCCCCCAGTCGGCGCTCAGGGACAAATGAGGCTGTGGCCACGAGAGCCCCGCTACCCAGCAGCCCCTGAGTGCCTCTGCCTTCTAAATTTTGGCCATGGCACAGTTAGCCTCCCAACCTTGTCTTGGAAAGTGCCAGAAGGTTGGTGGTCCTGCCCCTGGGTTTCCCATGACCCCTGGCACCCTCACTCCCTATCAGTGACCAGAGGTAAAGGCAAGCATTCCCGGGGCCACCAGGCCGCACAGAGACACCACAGGGGACACAGCCCAGCAGTCTGAGCGGACGAACCACTGAGATGGTCCGTTCCCTGCTGTTCTCCCCGACCCAGCAAATCCAGGCCTGAGGCCCTGCCCAGGTGACTCGGAGAGACAGGGACCGAGCCCGCGGCTCTGGGCCCAGTGCTGCCTCGCCTGTTCATACGCTGGGGCTGCGTGCAAGTCTTCAGCGTGGAAAGAGATTCTGCTGCTTCCGATCATTTTCTGGGTGGCGGGTCTGACCCCAGCCTCTCCCCGGGTCCCAGGTCCAGAACTGGAGACCAAAAGTGGCGGTCTCTCCATTTGAAATGGTCAGAACAGTATGAAGACTTACATATGTTTCTAATATTCTCAAATCAGTGATTCTTAGCTACGTCTATTTTGCTTATAAATCTCATTTTTCACTCAAGTCTTGTCTAGATTTTGAATGCACACACACAGGCCTTCCCGGCGCCTCTCAGCTCTGCCACAGTGACTAGATGCTCCCCAAGCATTTAGAGAGGATGTGCTTGTCAGATAGGGACACCTGTGTCCTTGTCCCCAAGCTGAGGACAGGGAGGGGACCAAGACCACATGGCTCATGGGCAGCAGAACCAGGCTGCTGGCCGGCTGCCCAAACCCCCAGTCCTGGAACCCCCGCCAGTGCAGGCCTCTTGGTTTGTAGGCCCCTTCTACCAGAGTTACCTCTGGCCTTTCTTCCGCTGGGCTTTGCCACAACAGCCGCTTCCCTACTGGCTCCTGGACGGACTGGAGAGGTCTCCGCTTCCGCCTCCTTCTCTTCCACCGCCCCTCCCAGAGCAGGGGAGAGCCCCACCCTCAGACAGCTGGGGCAGGAGGGCGGGGCTGGGGCAGGAGGGCGGGGCTGGGAAGGGGGCGGGGCTTGGGCAGGAGAGTGGGGCGGGGGCAGGAAGTTGGGGCTGGGGCAGGTGGGCGGGGCGGGGACAGGGGGCGGGGCTGAACAGGAAGTTGGGGCTGGGGCAGGAGGGCGGGGCTGGGGCAGCTAGGCGGGGCTGGGGCAGGAGGGCGGGGCTGGACGGGAAGTTGGGCTGGGACAGGGGGCGTGGCTGGGGCAGGTGGGCGGGGCTGGGGCCCGCTTTTGCTCAGCAGCCTGCCCTGCGGCCAACTCCACGTGTTTCCGGGGCGGGTCACTTTAGTTTGGGCCCGAGCTGATGAGCGGTGCAGGAGTAACCGAGGTCTTGTGGGTACACGGTGCGCATCCCTGCAGGAGAGCCTCGCGGGTGGGTGTTCTCCAGAGCCCTCCCGTGTACCCCCGCGCCGCTGCGGCCCGCGGCCCCCCTTAGGCCCCGGGTCTTGGCTCTCCGAGGAAGCAGCAGGCAGGCTAACGGGAGCAGGCAAGGGCTCCGTGAGGAACGGGGGAGCAGAGTTTGAGGGGCGGTGCAAGTAACTCAGGGGCGAAGGCGGCTTCCCCGTGAAGAACCGGGTTCAGGTGCCCGCTTTCCTGGGCCCTAACTGTGCCCTGGGTCGCCCGCGCGCCCTGCCTGCCTCGCCCGGGCTGCGTGCACGCCCAGCAGCCCAGGCGGGTGGGGGCGGCTCGGGCTGGGTCAGTGAGCGCTGGCTGTGGACTGGAGGCGGGGCCGGGGGGCGCTAAGGCCCCTGAGCCTCTCATTTAAGAGAAGCCCGGTAGGCCTCAGGTAGTCCAGGAAGGCGGTCATGTCTCCACCTGCAGATGCGGAGAACGCCTACCGCGTACCACCCGGGGGGAGGGAGCAGCGATCGCCCGTGGAGGTGGACGAGGGCCCACTGCCACCTGTGGACCAGACAGCCACCTGCCTCACGAGTAACTTTACAGTTTAGGACTTAACCGGGGGCAGAATTAGATTCAGGCCGAACCGGACGAGCTGGCCCCAGCGTTGTTGGGGTCAGAGTAGTCGCTGGAGACGTCCTCGTGGGAGAGGTCCTCGGGAGAGGTCCTCGGTGATAGTCCTGCCTGAGGACAGAGCTGTGAAAACGTAGAATAAAAGCCGGCCCAGCCCATCGGCCCCTCCCCGGAAAGACAAGCTGCGGTAGCCGAGTTAGCAAATTTCGAGGGTGATGCATCAAAAGCGTAAGAACGGGACCCTTAAAACGACCGCTTCTTACCTCGAAGCCTTTCTGGGGGCAGCAGGCCTCTGGGTGGCGGGCTGCCCAGGCCTGCCGCTGTGGGGGCACACGCACCCCACGGCCCGCCCTCCTGTTACATGGCACACAAATTTGTGCCTTCTAGATCACCACGATGGAGAGCAGCCTGAAGACCATTGAAGAGGAGAACAAAGTAATCGAGCAGCAGAATGAGTCTCTCCTGCACGAGCTGGCCAACCTGAGCCAGTCCCTGATTCACAGCCTAGCCAACATCCAGCTGCCGCACATGGTAAGTGACTGAGGGCGGGCGTACAGGCAGTCGCTGTCTGCTTCTGTGCCTAAGCTCATGGTTCTCCACACTTTGGATGTCTGCGCTCACCGCCCCCAAAACCGTAGCGCTAGCGGCTAGAAGCACCGGTGGGGCAGATCCTGCGCTCCCCGTAAGGTTAAGTCCTTACGCTCTGAGTAGGCCTTTTAAGTAGCGAAAAGACGGCGGCCCTATGCTATGATACTATTTTATGCTGATGTGAATATCCTATTAAGAAAGTAAAAGTTGTGTATGAACTACTATTTAATATCTCGTAGGATCCAATCAATGAACAAAATTTTGATGCATACGTGACTACTTTGACGGACATGTATACAAATCAAGATCGTTATCAGAGCCCAGAAAATAAAGCCCTACTGGAAAATATAAAGCAAGCTGTGAGAGGAATTCAGGTCTGAGCAGCTGCTGTAGGTGACGGGATGTTGTTTAAAAGGAGACCTGTTGTTTGCTGCTGTGATTCACCAGAAAGTGTTCTATATTTATTTCTGTTTGAAACAGTGTGACGCTTACAAGACTTCATAATGATTTTATGTCTTGCTTTAAAGATAGTACCTGCAGAATAGTTTTCAATACATTCACATTTTGTACGTTTTCATATAAGCTGACATAGTGTGATATGCCATGTAATGTTTATAGCTGCTAATGTATGCACATTTGGGGGTATATATATTTCTGAAGAGGTAAGCGGATCAAAATAAATAGAGTGTAAATTCTTTTTAATGCTTTAGTGATTAAATGTTTTAGTATTTTGAACTGAAATGGACAAAAAAAACAAAAAACAAAAAACAAAAAAAAAAAAAACCCAGCTTTGAATGATCATGTGGTGACCCCGCAGCCACTTTTTAGACATTATCATTTTGCCTCATGTTGGAGGATTTTATGGAATTTAAGAAATAACATTTTGTGTGCATATTGTTTCATAGCAAGAATTGGTTGCAAAAAAATGCTTTATTTTTGAACAATGCTTGGAAATATTATGTGATTTTTTTGTTTGTTTGTTTTAGGAGGATGGTGTATGGTGGGGGCAATAAATGAGGTTTTTTGCATTCCAAGGAAATGGCATATGGATTAACTGTAAGAAATGAGATAAGTAATTTATTGTAAGACAACATCAAGCCATGGAAACTTGGCAGAAGATTCAAAGCAGCTTAAACAGCACTTTTAAATTAACTCCTGAGCATTACATGGTGTGCCTCTGGGAACTGCAGTTAAGACAGGGGCTTATGAGAGGTGGACAGCGCGAAGATTTCCCTTTCCAGTGTCAGTAGACTTTGGAGCAACCTCCCCTTATCTCCCCGAGAGCTGTGTGCCCCTCTGAAGCGTCTGTCCTTGCAATGGCGTCTGTCTCACAGAACCTGTGTGCTCTAATTTCAGTTCAGAGATAATTTCAGAGTATTTATTTCCCCTCTTTCCACCTTTAGAAATTATTACTGTCGTTGTCGCTGTTACTATGACTTCACATTCGGGGAATAAGGCAAATGAGGCGGGAGTCCTACCGCGGGGCGCTTTCTGCTGGGCGGCGGAGCACAGCTCAGCGGGGACGCCCGACGCCGAGTGCCCGCACACAGGCCTTTCTGTTCCACCTTCCCTTGGAGACCCGGCGACCACAGGGCCTTTGCAGAGCCTTGCTCTTTGATTTGTCACGACCTATTCTAAGAACGAATGCAATCAGATTTTAAGAGTAATTACCTATACTTCAGCACTTTTTTGCTTTACACTAGATCATCCTAGACTTGCTTATACTTGGAGATTTGATTGTTTTCTTCCAACGACTGCACTATATGTATGCATAAGACCACTTTTGATTGCTGCGCCCTCCCCTTCCGAGTAGTCCCTAGGACGGCGTGTTGTGTCTTCTGGTGTTGACTTGAGTTACATGTAACGGCATCTCTTCCCTCCATGTCTTGATGTTATGCAGGAAGTACAGAAGTACTTTAAAATTTTGTTATGAAAAAAAAAAAAAAAGATGGGTTTTGTAAAAATAAAAAAAAAATATTTTTAGCAGAACAGGACTTACAGGGTCATTGTCCCCACAACGTGCCAGTCGACTATTTGCACTTACCTTGTCCTATATATCCGTACGGAGGTGTGCAATTGCCGGGGTCAGCAGCCTCGCGAGGCCGGCCCTGGAAAGATGACAGGAGCCCTCACGGCTGACCCGACGATGTTGCTAAGGGAGATTACAGGGATCTCACAGCAAATACTGATACAATACTCAACCTCGGTATATATATGTGTATAAATATATGTACACCCCCAGCGGCACTTTATACTGTCCACTGTACAAACGCTCACAGTTTTCCGCGAGGACGTTACTAACGAGCTGGGAAAGATGACGGACCTCCCGGGGCCCTGCAGCGCCCGCCCTGGAGAGCGCCCTCTTTCTGTTGTGCGATTAGTTGTAGCTGCCGTGCTCAGAATTGCCTTTTCGAGAGCTGAAGCGAGGTGCTTCTCGGTCACCCGATGCCATATACACCGTCGGGGCCCTGGGCTCCCGGGGGGGCCCTGCCGTTCGTGTGGGCGAATGCGTTTCCCTGCCGCGATGTGTCCGCAGCTTCTTTGCCAATATAGTAATGCTTTTAGTAGAGTAATAGCTAGTATCAGTTCTGGATTCTTCTCGTTATCACCTATGTACAATGGAAAGGGGTTTTAAGCACAAATCTGCTGCTCATCTAACGTTGGTACATAATATCCAATCAAGAGTTATCTGTGACTATTATATAGGGATCACAAAGTGTCACATATTAGAATGCTGACCTTTCATACAGAATTATTGTGAGTCATCAGAGTTTATTTATTATAACTTATTGTTCGTATTCATTTCTGAGTTAATTTAAGTAACCATTTATGAAGACAGAATTTTGTATAAATATTTATTGTGCTCTCTGTGGAACTGAAGTTTGATTTATTTTTGTACTACACGGCATGGGTTTGTTGACACTTTCATTTTGCTATAAATGTGTGGAATCACAAGTTGCAGTGATACTTCATTTTTAAATTGTGAACTTTGTACAAATTTTGTCATGCTGGATGTTAACACATCTTACTCTAAATAAAAACGGTGTTGCCACATTTGTAGCACGATGGATCTCTACCCAGGGTCCGCGTCTTCACTTGAGTCTGGAAACGGCGTCTGGGCCCACGAGGAGCGTGTGGCCCCAGAGCCGGTGGCTTCAGTGTCGGCCTCTCTAGGGGGGCGCCTCCCTCCGCGAGGGCTCCCCGTAGATGGTTTCTCGAAGCCGTCCGCGCAGCTGAGGACGCTCCCTGCCCCTTGCTGCTGCGCAAGGCCGCTCGGCCACGTTTGCCTCCGCTCCTGTCCTCGCTCTTGTGAGGACACGTCTTGTCTGCACGCAGGTGTCTCCCGGGACAGGCTCGTTGTCCCGCACAACCACAGCGCGATTACCACACGCGATACGACGTCCTCCTCGCACCGTATCCACACGTTCCAGCCGAGCCGACAGCCTCCTTTACGGTTCTCCCTTATCCCACGCCCTGAGGGACACAGCCTGCTCTGGGGCCTGACGGCCGTGTTCCTGCGCGGTCCTGGGCCGCCCTCTGCCTCCCGGGAGGCAGGGCAGGGCAGTGCGTCCAGGGCAGTGGGTTTGCAGACCCTTCCGAGGTTGGCTTAGCCTCACAGCCACGGCCCAGCGGCTCAGGTGCTCTGAGCGATGCCCTGCGCGCCCCTGCAGGTGCTCTGAGCGATGCCCTGTGCGCCCCTGCAGCTCCCTTCCGTGGGCACTGTGTCACCCCCCATGATCGGCCCTGCTGCTCAGTCACCCACTCTTAACTTCAAGCTACTGGCAAGGACCACCCATAAGACAAGTTGCCCTTCAGACATGACATGTCACTGCATCACCCCCTTTCCTTCACTTATGCTGGTAAAAGTCACCCTTTAAAATTCCAGAAACGCCCTCCTATATAGACACAATCCCCCAAAATACAACATTTGAGGAAGAGGCCGGGTGATCTTTGTTAAATCCAAACTGTATCCCGGGGAGGGGGTGGGGGGGGTCCTCTACGTCCTCAAGCATCAGGGCCACCTGAGCACCCGCCCGGCCGGCTGGCGCTGTCTGAGATCTCACGGGCAACATCTGGGCCAGCTTCATGGAGTGACCAGGACAGGAAGGATGGTCTCCCTCAGCAGGTGCAGCTCGGTCAAAGGCCCTGCCCAAGGACCAAACAAAGTTGACGCAGAAGGTGGCATGTCTGTGAGCCGCTGTCGTGACTTAAGTCTGTCATCTTGTCACCAGAAAGCCACTCCCCCTGAGGAGCAACGTGGCTGGGACTGTTGTCAACACTTTGGGAAGCACTTTAGCAGTCATGTCAAAGACCTTATGAGATTCATATTTTCGGCCCAATAATTCCAGAGGTCTATCCTAAAATACCAAAACAATTGCAATTATACATGCACCGCGGCAAATGAAAGTAACTTATAAGTCCTATTTTGGAGGAACGATTGAACAATTCATGGTAAGTGCACTTTTTAGGACGCTACGGAGCCGTTAAACATCGGTGACAAAGGCTCACGGGTGAGACGCTTGTGATGCTACAAGTGAATAGTGCAGGGAACAGAAGTGTAACCACCTGGGTGGCAGTGAGGCTGGGGTCCGTCAAGGTGACCTGGTGAGCCGCACCCCTGCGTGGGCGGCGGGGTGGGGGGGGGGGGGCCTCAGGGAGAGGGAGGAGGGGGACCCTGGAGGCAGAGGGAGAGGTTGGGGGAATGACAGGCTTCCGGGGGCCTGGAGGCAAAGAAGAGAGTGGGCAGAGATGTCGGGGACCCTTTGTTCTCTGGCTCCTTTGTCTGAAGCTGGCCTACTTCAAAAATTTTTTGAGTAAATAAATAAAAAGCCTGAGTGTAGTGAGGTTTCTAGAAGGTCTTGAGCTGCCCCGAGGGTGTTAAAAGCAGGAGGACACAGAACAGGGGCAGAGGGGGAGGAGCAGGAGAGCCGGTTGGAGAGGAGGCCGCTCTAGGGCCGGGCCCCTAGGGGCCCCCCCCCCCCCAGACCCCAGACGGAGCCCAGACTCCTCCTCAGTCCCCTCCTGGACACCCACTGTCCATTCCCCACGCTCCAGAACACAAGGAACCCCCAGCCCAAAGCACAGAGGATGCCCGGCTTTCCAGGCTCCCCGTGCCTGCCTCCCCAGCCCCCCCCCCCCCGCCCCACCTCCAGGGTCCCTGGCCACAGACATTCAGCACAGCAGAGCAAGGCAGGGAGCCAGGGTCTCAGGGGTAAGATTTAAAATACACGTTAAGGGAAAACTCTAGCTTCTGTACTTTGTCTTTATATTTCCATCACATGACACCCAAAAAAGTTATGGGTCACTGCACAGACTCTGAACAAAAGTGGAAAAACAACGTGAACTTAAGCACAAAGCCCACCACGCCCTGGAGCTACCTCCTTGCAAACGGACAGAGCAGACGTGTCCCCACCCTCCCACACACACACCTGTCCCCCATGCAGGGCCCCAGCCCGGGACGAGGCGGACCCAGAGGACCTGGCCTGTGCCGGCCGGCCTCGGGGAGCATGCTGGGACCCCATCCCGGCACATCAGGGTCCTCTCTGGTCTCTGGCCCCGTGTGCCCTTTGGAACCCTCCGCTTTCCACTCTTTCTTTAACCTGCACCCGCTTTCTTCCTGTGTGATTGTGCACATGCCTTACGTTGTCTCAAAATAATTTTTGAGCAAGACAACATAAGAAAATAAACAAAGCTAAACATGGGGGGGGGGCGGTAGCTTCCCTCCTACCCCCCTACATTCCCGGCTAAGTTAGCTGCCTCTGCAAGAAAAGACATTGAAAAGAGAAACACGTACAAATCCATTTAATGGAAGTTTGATAAGACCCAGGAGCCTGAGTAAGGAAATGAAGACCAGAGAAGAGTATTGTTACAGGCTGAGTCACCGGCAGGGGGCACTGCGCTGAGCCCCTCTGCCTGGAGACAAGGGTGTGTCTTCGCTGGGACGTGGTGAGCACCTCACTGAGGGGCCGGCCCACTGGGGGCGGGGGGGGGGGGGGGTAGAGTCCTTCCTGAGACGGCTGTCCCCAAATTTCTCCACTTTAAAATACTCAGTATTCAAGGGCGCCTGGGGGACTCAGTGGGTTAAGCGTCCGACTTCGGCTCAGATCATGATCTCACTGTGAGTTCAAGCCCCGTGTGGGGCTCCGTGCTGACAGCTCAGAGCCTGGAACCCGCTTCGGATTCTGTGTCTCCCTCTCTCTGCCCTTCCCTCAGTCATTCTCTCTCTCTCTCTCTCTCTCTCTCTCCCCCTCTGTCCCTCCCCCACTTGCATGCATTCGCTCTCTTTCTCTCAAAACAAATAAAAATAGACTTTAAAAAGGGACACGTGGGTGGCTGAGTCGGTTAAGTGTCTAACTTCGGCTCGGGTCATGATCTCGTGGTTCCTGGGTTCGAGCCCCGCGTCGGGCTCTGTGCTGACAGCTCAGAGCCTGGAGCCTGCTTTGGATTCTGTGTCTCCCTCTCTCTCTGCCCCTCCCCTGCACGCTGTCTCTCTCTCTCTCTCAAAAATAAATACACATTTAAAAATTTAATAAAAAGACTTTAAAAAATACCCAATGTGCCCAAGTGCCATGTTCTGGGAAAGCATGCTCTGAACCTCATCATTATGCACAAACATAGGGGTGGGGGGAGCATGATAAAGACAGAATGTTAACTTAACATTAAAGGGAAGAGAGAAGAGTACAGATGAGTCAGGAAACAAGAATTACACCTTAGGGCGTCAAGAGGGAGCTGGTGTCGGCTGGTGGGGACCAGCTAGGATTTGGTAAATGAGCAGGAACTGTCCCCAGGGCTTGGGACACGAGAGTGTTCACTGCACTGTCCTAGGTCCCAGCACTGCAACAGCGGGCCGGGTTCAGCGCTGTTTCCAGGGGTGCGGTCAGCCCTAGCCAGCACCCCCCTCGCCCGCCTCACACCTGCTCACCCCTCTGCCCCTAGATCTGAAATAAGAGACAACAGGTCTGTGAGCCCCAGGCAGCTGCCAACCCCCCACAAGCCCCCAGCCCAGCAGCACTGCCTGAGACACAGGCAGCGAACCAAACGCCAAGACGCTGAGCGTCTAATAAAACCGCCGGCAGTCACAGCGTGCGTGTTCTCAGGGTTGGGACTAGCTTCTTTTTGTAACAGGAGGCGTTCATTTGCCAGAGACCTTTGGGGAGCAGGGGGGGAAGGGCCACTGGCACCTAGCACGCGTCCCCCCCACGCTCGCGTGTGTCCGCACAAAGGTCCGGCAGCATCCACCCCAGGACCAGCTTGGCTGAGGTGGCAGCAGGTCTCGGGAAGCACCCTGAGGAGCCTCGTGGGGGGACCTGCCCCCCCCCCCGGGCCCCCAGCCTGGAGGCCCGCCCTGGCCCGGCCGGCCCCCCTTTCTGAGCGGTGGGACGGACGAGGTGCGGCCCCAAGGCCTTACAGCTCTGGCGGACGTATCTCGGTCGCTGATGAGACATGGCCGGTCAAGAACGGAGGGCCAAGGGGAGTGTGGCTCCCTCCCGGGCGAGGTCCCTCATGACACGAGCGCCGGTCAGCCGGTCAAGGTCTGAGGACGAGAACACAGCTTCCCGCGGAGGTTCCTGGAGGCACCACACGGTCCAGGAGGGGGCGGCTGACGCAGGGGAGGGGGACGTAATTGTCACTCTGCCCTCTGGGTTCTGGGCTGGGGGGCCCTGTAACAAATGACAGAGGAGCCACAGGAAAAGAAGCTGAGGTTGATGAACAGGCATATCTCACGTCCGCCTGGGAGACGCCAGGGAAAGCGGCTTGGCAACAGGTGCCCGGAGACCGGGGCTCAGCAGCCCTGCGGCTAAACCCAAACCAGACGGGGCCGGGAGGGACCAGGCCGGTGTCTTGGCAATCAGCCCGCACTTCGGGCCGGGGGGGTGCCGCCTCGAGGGTTGGACCTGGACGCAGGTGGATGGAAAACGGCCTTGGGAGGACGTGTCGTCCGCAAAGCACGGTCACCCGGTCACTCGGCGAGGACGTGCATCTTGCCGCCCGGGCCTGGGTGGTCAGCGGCCCCCGCGGTGACTCGCGGTAACTAGCTCAGGTTCGGGTCAGAGGCCCACGCGCTCCACCTTCGTC